ACGCTTTCTTGATATTTTTCTCCTTTACATATCATTCCCTCCTAGCACTTTCCCTCTCTTTTCTCTCAATATGTATAAATACCGTCTCAAAATACTGACAATGTCACTGTGATTATACGATCTTTTTCAAATAATATTCTTAACATCGAAAATTCTGCCATCTTCGTAATATTCTTCACATTGAATAATATAGTACAATTGATCGTTGTGGTAAGTTTTTATAATTAATTCATTTTTATAAATAAAATAAAATTAAATTAAATTAAATTAAATTAAATTAAATAAAGATAATAATTCATTTTATATAACATTGTTTGTCAGAATCTAATAATCCTGTGTTTAACATACAGTGATCAAGAAATAATATTCAATAAGAAAATCTCATATGCCAAAAAGATCGAGAAAACAGAATTAATTTTCAGATTTTATGTTTTAATTTTACATCTCAATTGGCGTTTTTATTATATAACATCATTCTTTTAGTTGTACTGATGATAGTCGAAACTTAACCGAAACGTTTACATTTAAAATTTTAAATATATAACTTGTGCAAAAACATCTTGCATTGTTATATACTTCTTCTTATTTATGTTTTATGTTATTAAGCCTCTCTAAAAATTATTACAAAATGATATAACTCGTATAAAAAGTAATGAATATTAAGTTTATTTAAATAAGAAAATTTATATTTATTATTTCTTTTTGTGCAATATTCAATCATTGTTCCATACGAGAACTGTTCTTTTGTTTTGTAAACCGCGCACTCTTTTACGATTTGAAAGACATTGTAAGAAGATTCTTCAAGAAATTCGTAAACCAAAAAACTATAAAAAAAAAAATAATTTTATCAATTCGATTATGATTCCAATATTGTTAACTTTCTGAGGACTAGCATGTTTTTGATCTTTTTTATTTTAAGGGCTAGAAGAAGGGCTTTTTGTCATTGTCATGGGGTTGAGTGATAAAAAAGGTGATGCCACTGTCGAATTAAAGAGACTTCCAATCCTTCAAATTAATTAGGCTGCGGTCCATTTGCTTCTTCTAAATTCTCTGAACGCTACATTCCAAACGCTACGCTCCGATTGATCCATTATTGTTCCGAATTACTACAATTATTACGTGAGCGCTCCAGCCAATTCATTTCTCGAAGATGAAGCAGTTGGAGCAAAAACGACGTATTGATGAGATAATCGGAGTTGCTGAGAACGTTCCGAAACGTCCAATGATCCAGTCATGTTAGTGCTATAAATTCTCTGTAGCGTTTAAAATGCTAAGTGGACCGCAGCATAAATTTGTCAAATTTTGTACTTGATTTCGATTCAAGAAAAGATTAAAAATGATTATTGATTGTGAATCCGATTCTCGCTCAAAATAAAAATATCATCATTTAAAATTTATAAATCGGGTTGTTGCAGGAGATGAATCAATTAACTACATATGCATTGACTAGTGAAACTGGTCTCGATGGTAATTCTGTCATAATATATTAAAAAAACTTTTTATTTACAATAATTTAATTACTATATTTTATTTATAGTACTCTATCAATCTCTCCTTGAAAAAAAAATATCAGTTACAAACATCACTGCATTATCGTTGTATATCCTGCTTTACATAGATAATTACATAGATAATTATTTATAAATTCTGCTAATAAAGCCTTTTTCCTGTTTTTATTGAGCATTTCATAAGTTTTTGTAAATTTTGTAAATTTTTATTTGTTAATAAATAAAATAAAATAAAAAAAATTAAAATGTTTATATTTTAATAATTTTAGGGCCAGACCAGGTATTATCTACGGACATAGATACTACATGTAACGCTGACGGCAGAGTACGAATAAAGTTAGATAGCAATGGATCTAATTCATTCATGCCCATATCAATCCCTGGAGTTTTAACTAGAACTGCAAAGCTTTATCCTAACCATATAGCGTTGGTGTCTAGACCTGATACTAACGGCAAAAGAACCACATATACTTTCCAGTATGTATAAAAAAAAAGACTTTTGTTTTTCTACTCTCTATTATCACAATAAGTATTATATGTATAATACTTATTGTGATAAAACATGTAAAACTTTTCTCTATTTATGATTTTGTAAAATATAAATATTTTTATATAAACTTTTTCTTTTCTATTCTTCTCAATTTGATTTACAGGTAAAATCCATGAGTTTAGCAACTACATTCACCTCGACAGATGATACAATTAATTTTGTACAATTTTATTAATTTTTTATTACAGAGAATATGAGTCTATTATAAGAATCGTCGCGAAAGCGTTTCTAAAGTTAGGTTTGGAGCGACATCATAGTGTCTGCATAATGGGATTCAATAGTCCGGAGTGGTTTATTGCTGATCTCGCGGCTATATATGCTGGGTAAAAAAACTTAATCATTTTATATCAAAATAAGCATCATTTATAATTTACACGTACTGTTTACATATTCACAATATTGCATATAATATAACGATATAATAATAAAAAGCAATCTAACAACAATATGAATTCTTACTTTTTCGATTTTTAAATCGGATTTTTAATAAATCATTCAGATTTTAAATAGATCATTCCTTTTTAGTGGGATCGCTACAGGGATTTATATCACAAATTCTCCAGAAGCATGCCAATATTGTGCTGAAAACAGTCGGGCAAATATAATAGTCGTTGAAGATGAGAAACAATTGCAAAAAATCTTGCAAATAAAACACAATTTAACCCACTTGAAAGCAATTGTTCAATATAATGGCATACCTACCAAAAAGGATGTTTTGAGTGTAAATTAATTAGTATACTTTTACTCTAATATCTTTTTATTTAATATATATAACTTATTATTATTTATTTTTTCTCAGTGGGACGATTTATTGGACATAGGTAAAAAAGAATCGGAGGATAAATTACTATCTGTGTTAAAGACGATAGGAGTAAATGAATGTTGTATTGTAGTATATACAGTAGGTTCAATTTATCGCAGTTAATCATATTGCGATTGCTATAACATATTTAATATATTATTTTCTAAATTTGCAATTTTTATAGTCGGGAACAGTCGGAAAGCCAAAAGCTGTAATGGTAAATCATGATAATGTGCTGTTCAGTGTACGGACATTATTGTCAATGCTACGTTTAAAAGAAAAAGCAGAGATTATAGTTAGCTATCTACCACTGTCTCATATAGCAGCACAGGTAAAATATTCCAAATAGCATAATATATATTTTATGTATCTTAAATAAAAATTCAACAGTGACATACAATTAACAAATTACAATTGATACAAATTTTCACGTATATAAATTACACAGGATTGAAATGCGAAACTTGTAACGTCGTTACTGTTGCTTTTTTTAAATAGATTAAATAGTTGGAATCAGATCTTAAACTGTTGACTAATATTATTGCCAATGAATTTATAGTTTATCTGTATGATTTGTAATTTATAAAATTTATAAAAAACGTTCCATTTTTCATCTGTTAAGATTTTTGCAACTAAATTTTATATGCCCTTTATTTTCATTATATCATTATTTGATACTAATAGTTCTTTACTAATTCCATAATGAGATTATATAATATTTTAATTTCAGATAATTGACATCATACTAAACATTATGTTAGCGAGCACAGTATACTTTGCGGACCCAAGTGCATTAAAGGATACATTAATAAATACGTTACTTGTTGCACAACCAACTATTTTCATAGGGCTACCCAGAATATGGGAAAAGATATATGAAAAAATGCAAAAAAAAGCGCATAATAACGGCATAATAAAAACTTGGATTATTGAATGGGCAAAAACACAAGCTCTTCATTATTATAGAAATAAAATAAATGGCACAAATTATAAACATTGGGGCTACGTTTTTGCAAAATGGCTTGTTTTCGACAAAGTCAAAGCAGTATTAGGTTTGAACAAGTGTCAAATCTTCGTTACCGCAGCAGCACCCTTATCGAATATCGATATTAAAAAATATTTCCTGAGTTTAGACATGCCTCTATTAGAGGGATATGGAATGTCTGAATGTAGTGGAGCTCATACAATAACTGACATTAACCAATACAGGTAAATTATTATAATTTGCTTTTATTCTTTATATTGAATTTTCGAAGATTTTTTTATGTTTAAAATATTTTGTTTACAATAAATTTTATTCTAATTTGTTAGCATGAATAGTGTAGGAAGAACTTTACCCGGATTATATACAAAATTATACAATATAGATGAACATGGCGACGGAGAAATTTGTATGAGTGGACGACATATATTTATGGGTTATTTAAATGCACCAGAAAAAATCAAAGAAGCCAAAGATAAAAATGGTTGGTTACATAGTGGTGATCTTGGCAGATTAGATTCAAATGGAAATTTGTTTATTAATGGTAAATATTTGTTTCCCATCTATTAATATTTATTATATAATAATATTCATGAAAAATAATGGGTTATGTAAATATATGATATATATACAATATACTCGATAAAGACCATAACAACACTTGCATTCTTAAGATTATTTTGAGACGAAAATCTTAATGCCAAAACAACGAGGCTAACAGTTTTTGAATCATAAGCATTTAAAGTTAGCAAATTATACCGCTTAAAGTCTGCGCTTTCAGATGTGGTTGGCATTTTTATTGTATAACGCCTAAACATACAGAACTTTAGGCAGTATTCGCTAACTTTAAATGCTTATAATTAAAAACCCATTATATAGTCTTGATATTTTAATATTGTGATTTGCGTTTCAATTAGGAATCTTTAAGCATTGTTACGATTTTAAACGAACACATATTGTATATGTTTTATGCATTCGCAGGTAGAATAAAAGATCTTATAATCACAAGCGGAGGGGAAAATGTAACATCGTATAATATAGAACAATCGATATTATCGGAATTACCATATTTAAGTAATGCTATGGTAATTGGAGATCGAAGGAAATATTTAACGGTCCTTGTCACGCTTAAGGTATAATTCGAGAAAATAAAAAAATATGAATTTAAAATTATAAATATTTAAATAATACATTTTTTTCAGAGTAATATGAATGAAGAGACTGGCGCGCCATTAGATACACTGGCGCCAGATGTATTAAAATGGGCACAGTCTATTGGTAGTAGTGCTAAAACGGTTACAGAAGTCATAAACTCTCGCAATACAGCCGTAAGTCTTAAAAGAGACTCATAATATTATTTAATACTATATAATAAAAAAAAAATTTATTTTCTCAAATCTGAATCGAGTAAACAAATATGAATGAACAATTTTTATAGCAACAATTTATTGCATTAATTAAATATTGAGATGTATTGAAACAATTGGATTAATACTGATTGTGAATCAAATTATATATTGTGCTACTAAAGTTATTTTAATGCAAACAACATTGCCAGTATGCCAGAATCTATTAGTTTGATCTGCATGTTTAAATGTTACAAGATGTTTCTTGATCTTTTAGATATATGAAGAAATCGACAAGGCAATTAAGAGAGCAAATATGCAAGCTATAAGTAATGCTCAAAAAGTACAGAAATTCGAAATTCTTCCTCATGATTTTTCGATTCCAACTGGCGAATTGGGGCCTACATTAAAGCTTAAAAAGAATATCGTCGAAAAGATGTATGTTGATTTGATAGATAAAATGTATGAATAAAACTATATATTACACAATATCAGCATCAATAATAACATAATATTAATGTTACAATTTTATATTCAACAATATACAGTGCAACTCCGTTGATCATGTCGGAGACAAGATATTTCTTATAACCAAGTAATTCAAATAATAGAAATTCTGTACTTTATTCTTGAACTTTCTTCTATAGCTTTTAATTTCAATAATAAGAATGAAGTCAAACGTGTTGAGTTCTTATTATTCAACTATAATAACATGTACGCATCATAATTTGGAGCTCAGCTAAGTATATTTGGAACTGAGATACGAACTGATTCATACAAATGGAATGAAGATAAGTCTAATTCTAATGTAAATATAATATAACATATGTCAGAATGCATCTAGAAATCTAGATTATCAAGCTGAACATTAAACAGCGAACATTTAACACAAAAATACTAGATACATAGCTTTGGATAAACCTCGCTTCGAGTGAAAAGTTAAACAAGGATTTACAACTTTTCACATTTAATTTTTTGGTAATGGAGCCTTCCATAGAGGAGGGGGGCGAAACCCACATTTTCCGCTTTACAAAGTCAATGGCGAGTTCAAGCCGGCAAAGCGACTAGATATGCTTGCCGAACGAATGAGCATGATTAGGTCTTACCAGATGAATCCATAACCACTCATGTTAATCAGAGTAGGCCTAGGCGCTTTGCCGACTTGAACTCACCCAATGAATTTGACTTTTTTATTAATTTTTTATTTATATTGTACTTATATTTATATCTCATTGTTAAGTTTTAAAAGAAAAATTTAAAGTGTTTTATCTCAGTAGGAGAATCCATCATGTGATTCAAAGTGTATGTAAGACTTAAACTATTGATTTTAATCGTATATAAAAAAGTAATTGATGAGATTTAATCTTTTCACAATTACCAATGATTACTAGATATTGTCATAATAAAAAGCGTATGTTATAATTAAAGAATCTTTATACTGTTTTTGTAATTTTTATGTTGATAGTCAAATAGAGTATTGATCTTGAGAAAATATCAGGCAAAATTGTTAGAAATACAATAATGCTATTAATGCTATGCATTTATTAATAAAAAGCAAAAAATTGTTATAAGTAAGACAGGAATCAAATATTACAGGAATTAAATCTTAGACATTTATTTATTTGAATACAGTTGTTTATACAGTACAAAAAGTATTTGTATAGAAAAATATTTTTTTAAATTTTATTTTTAAAAAGTAATTATTATCCAGCGAGAAATGATTCATCGAATTGATGTCAAAATATCGATACAATAATTTTGACATCAATTCGACATCAATTCGATGTCTAATTAATTGTTTTTGTTGGGTAATTAACAATTTATTCATAAAGAATTCATAAAATAGACTGTATTTTTCTCAAAATTATATTACCAAAAAGATGTATATAAATTATAGAAAATATATCATAAAATATATCTTAAAAATAATATATCTTAAAAATAACCGAAAATTAACAATTATATTATTTGAACGCTCAAAAAATATTCGTACAGTCGAGAAATTTAGATTCCTAAAATCATACACGCAAAGCTTGTTTGTTTATGTTAGAACAGAATATATGTTGTTAGAATAGAGAAAAGTCTCCTATTATGAGATAAGCGCCTAATATGAGATACCGGCGTTTTTGCTAATAAACACCATCTATTGGTTCCATCATGCTTAAATTTATTACTGTTAGATTGAAAACTATTTAATAGAAAATTCATTATTAGATCATGCTTGTAATCATCGTAAAAAAAGATTTTGGAATTTAGATGTCTTCAAGTTTCATTGAGATGAGCATTTAAATCTTGTTTATTATTTAATAAATAAATATTTGACAATAAATTCTTCATATAATGATAGTAAGGTCGTACTAATAGAAAAATACGGGATATATTGAATTATTTAATTACAGAAGTTAGATTTGATGATCATAAAACCATAAGAAATCGTAATATGAGACCCAAGATATATCTAATTTGAAATAATCTATACTTCTATGTTATAGTGGAAATCGTTGCTAAAGAGTAAATTTATACAATAATAAAAAGGACAACTGGAATGAACGTCAAGTGCCTATTTCTGATGCTTGATTCCAACTATCTGAAAATGAGTTCTAGGTATAATCTATCGCATGCTCATTTTTCACGTACGCTGACTGTGTTTGTTTGCATTTTAGAAACATAAAATAAAGTTTTTTAATTTGCAATACTGACATATTTTGCATTTTACTATCATTTTCTCGGGGCATCTCATATTAAGAGCACAATTTTTTGACTTTGCGATTTGCTCACTTTTTACATTTCTTTAATTTTCCAAAAAAAAAATGGAATTTAAATTAAATTTTATATAACGTTATCTTAAAGTTTATTAAATTTCTTTCAAAATGATCTATTATTTTTTTTAAATTCTGTTCATAAACTTCTAGTATTTATCCAAAATGAACTCGGTATCTCATAATAGGGACCTTTCCTCTAAATTCTTTTCCTTTCCTTTATATAAAATTGCTAATTAATGTTTATTTTCTACAAATAAGGCTTTTTTTATAAAAAAAATATCCTTATACGAATACTTTTTGCATTGTTATATTTGGCCTGTTATTTCTCTAAACTGGTGTACATATAGCAATAAGTTGAACTGAACGAAATATTTGTTTTCACTTATTGTACTGTCTTTCATTTCATTTATTATACCGTGTGCACTGAATACAATTCACTGAATTCATTGGTAAAGAACAGACTTATTGAAACTATTAAAAGTCATTTTCATTGTCTTCTTTAATTAATCGTAAATAATTGTTGTGTAATACATTGAATCAGTTTCGTGAGACACTGTAATTACGATTTTCTATTCAATATAACTAGATACAATGTTTAGTCGTCATGTTATGTTAATATTCGTTATTTTATGCTCTAATCTAACAGCTGTTAACGGAAAAATCGTATTTTGATTTGGTTCAACAAATTAAGAATTTATAATTTATTTGTTGTCCCAACAATAAATTTAATATTATTTGATTCATACTACAAAAATGTATTCTAGATTTTTCTTTCTTGCTCCATCTGTTCTATATGTCATATTTTTTATTTAGCTAAAATGATTTGCAAAAATCAGCCTTGGACTTTAGATTAATATTAATAAATATTCAAATCATACAAATGCTAATTAAAAAAAAATTAATCTCATTTCAATATACCATCATGTAGCAATAGTTTCTGCATATTAATATTTCTAACATGTAATAATTTATTATGTTTATACATATTAATATTTCTAAAAAAAATAAAAAAATTATATCAATTGATAATCATTACTTACAAATCAGATAGCAAAATAATCAACCAATCAGAATATGAAATAAACTCTAATTAATTCTCTTATGCTTCATGCATTATGTAAAAACTTATGCTGCGACTTTAGGAATACAACAACCATCAACTAGTCAGGGCTGTCGATTGTATTCAGAAACTTGGACGCATCCAGATATCTGCAATTCGTCCGGAGTAATCTATACATACCTTAAGCACACACGTAGAGGAAGTGTTTAGAGTCTTAGATAATTAAAAAGTGAGAAAGGCAAGGTACGTACGAGAGTAAATATCTGAAGCAATTGAGTAAAATTGTTATTTGATATAAGATGTAAAATTATTTGATAAACCAATTAACTAAAATTTTAGAAATAACTGAAACTACAAAAGAAAAGAAGTAACAATATAATAATTTTTTTATTGTACAAAACATAAAAATGTTTTTCGTACAAAACATAAAAATTTCTAAATTAGTTTTATTAAATATAAGAAGAGTTAATTATAAATATAAACAGGGTAAACCATAGTCATTGAACCAGCTTTTTTATCTTATGAGAAAATTATCGATTGCACGCACGTTATAATCCAATAGATATGAAGTCAATAATTTTCTCATAGGATAAAAAATTAATTCAAACTCTGATTTACCCTGTGTATATGTTGCGCGCGCGCGCGCGCGTGTGTGTGTGTGTGTGAAGAAAAAGATTGTAAGATATCATTATAATCAAATAATTTATAATCTGAGTTTAATATATAAAACACATTTAAAATAATTAAGGGAATCCTAAGCGAAACTCGAACTCCGATGAAGTCACCAGAAGTCGTTTTTTTCAACGCATCGCCATGATTCTTTAAAAAATGTGTTTCGAATTTCACATGAAGCGCATAATGCATCATTTGTCCTTGTTGTTCACCAAATAATAAAAAAGAATAAAACGATACATCATGCGCTTCATACATAACTCGGAACGCACCCATATACTACTTAATATTACTATACCAACATCTTACGCACCTATGATACACGCAGTCATGTCAATTTTCGTATAACAAATTCGTCGCGGTAAAACATCTAAATCTAATTTTAAGAACTCGACGTTATTTGTTCGTGCAAACTACGTGTTTATGGATTATTATTTCGTAAGTTCAGGTTGCAAAACTTTTATATCAAACAAATGTTGTCACGACTTGAGACGCTATATTACACTAATAATGAGAAATGATAAAAAATATTTCAATTTCGAAATTTTTTGATCGTTCTCGGCATAAACTCCATCTCACAAACACGTATTAATGCGTATACTTTAAAAATTCTGGAAAAGAATTTTCGAATCTGTGAAAGAGAAAAAAAGTATTTGTTATACAAAAATTATATGATTAAAATATCTAATTGATAATAATTATATAGATTAATTCTTCGGTTTTAACTCTAAAATCCTAAAATTCAACTAATAGAGCTGCTAGTCCTAATTAATTCTAACCGAAATCTGTATTCCATTGGCTGAATTTTAGAATTTTAAAGCCGAAGTATAAACCAAACAAGTCGTTAGTCGATAATACAAACGACTTTAGGATCCTCTTAAAACAATTTTTAAAATGAAAAGAATTGTTTAAATAAAAAAGGACGTTATAATGTGACTATTTGAATATGATGATAAAGTTGGTTATCCATTATATATTTTTACAGAATCTAATTTCTTTATAGATCTATTTGGACTTTCCATGAAATATAATAATTAAATGTAAATTTTGTTAATGTTTTTATATTAGTTTCTTTTAACAAGCGAATAACGAATTTCAGTATTATTTTTAACGAAAAATATTAATATTATTAATATTAAGTGTTGATTAAAAATCATTGTGATTATTATTTAAAAATAATAAAAATCTTCAAAAGTCCTAAAAGGCATCTGTGAAGTAACATATCTGATACACTTATGAAATCAATGCAAAAGTATTGTTAAGAACGTATTCATTAAAAGAAATTTCTGAATATATAAAATATCTAAATCTGTAATAATATATATTTCAATACATTCAGAATTTTTTATGAATTTAAGCTACTTAAAAAAAAGACTCGGTTGCACTAACGGTACTTGCATTTTAAGCAAGTCTTAAAACTCTCTTTGTCTCGTTTTAAAGCGAAAGAGAAATAGAGATAGAGAAAGTTTTAAGCTTTGCTTAAAGTTAAGGTAATCATATTCCTTCTGTTAAAAGCATTTTCTTTCAGGATAATTTCAGTAAGGGATACGAAAACTCTCGTTAAAACGTAGCAAATTGTAACATTTTATATTAAAAAAAATATAATTTTTTTGCTTATAAATTGTTTAAAAAATATTTCTTTATAAATTTCTTTGTAAATTCAAATCTCTGTAAGTCTCCTTTTAGAATATAAATATTATTTTTATTCATATTTTTAATTAATTTTTTCATTAAAAATGTTCTCTATATAGCTATCTATTACAAATGACTTGATATTACTTAAAAAATCCATTTTTTAAAAAGTTTCTATGTAAAATGTAGACATATTAAGAAAAATATGTCATAAAACAGAAAATAATACAAACTTTTCATTATAAACATTTGGAATTTTGAATAAGCAGAAGGAATGAATTCTGTTTCATGTTAAATTATTTTTTAAGCAATCCTATATTCTTTTTCATAAATTTTTGCATTAAACTTAAATTTTTAATTTTAAAACGAATTATTTTAATGAATTTTCTTGCGAATGGTTTTATCTAGTATTTTTTTATCTAGTATTCTGAAGAAATTAATTTTCTTTTAAAGAATGTATTATAACATTTAGATATCTAAATAAGTTCAAAGTAAAAGAAAATATGTAATAAACTGTAATATGTTACGTTTTGACTAGAGTTCTTGTATCCCTTGTTGAAATTTTCCTGAAAGAAAATGACAGAAGGAATATAATTTTTAATGTAAAAAATTTATTCGCATTTTTTGATGCGTGAAAATATTGCGCAATAGCGGCGAAGTCATAGTGACGCGGCGCAATGGAACGCTTACGCACACTACTAGGCGACTCACGGACGTGCGTCCATTTAAAAGACGGCGCCCATTGGATTAACTTTACTCCATAATAATTGCTTTATAAAGAATTATAGAAAAAAATGGCTTAAGACATTTCGACTCAATTTTAGATCAAGATTAGCACTATATAATTAATGCCCACTATTTACACCTGTATAATTATTATTACTAATATTATAGTAGTAATAATCATAATTTTAAATTATAAATAACTTTTTAATTATTTTTAATTATAAGTAATTTTTAAGAGAATAAAAGTTCAAATATGGGCTAATTATAGTCTATGTTTAGATAATTATCTCTTCATGAATCGCGCGAGATAATATAAAGTCAAAAATACACGATTTTTTTAATGATATGCATGCTTGCTCTGATGCATGCTAGAATATAACGTTCATATATTAAGTGCGGCATGTCGATGTGCATGACTTCTGCATTTATTATGTGTTACTTCATAACTTGTTTTCTTGCATGTTTTCTTCAATCAAAAGATTAAAAACTATCACGTGATCGAATAGACGATTGACTGCGATTGACAGCATCTTCAGAAACAGAAATAATTGTACTAATTTCGTAGTTATCTATCAAACGTTACACGGCATGTATCAAAGCAAGCATCGTACATACATGCCTTTAATTCAAAAAGTCGAGCATCACGTGTAATTCTAGCGCTGTTAAATGCGCATTTCAGCGTGTTCTCACAGGTGATTATCTAAACTAATTTGTAATGGACCATTTAAAATCTTATATCTCAGAAACTATTGTTTAAAATAAAAAACTACAATTAACTTTTTAATTTAAATTTTTTATTTGTTGCTGTAGTATGTTTAGTTGCGAATTTTTACTTATGTATGTATAGACATCGATTTATAATGTATTTCGCTTCTTCAATGACTATAACTTCTTTAGGTTTTTTATTATTAAATTTAATTTTTTATGATATAGTTTTTTATTTTATAGTAAATTGTTTAAACATACAATTAAAATTATAAAAAATGGCTCAAACGATTTAAATTACAATATATAAAAAAAAGAGAGCTAAATTATATTTAATCCATAAACAAAATGAACATTTTGTCTATCTTCAACGAAACTTTATTTTCAATGTTAATTTTAATTTTAAATATTTAAAAATTATTATATGTAAAAGTGCAAGACTGAACTATTATACACTGTTAAAAATTTCATGAAATTTAATATACTTTTAAATTACATAATTTAAACTTAATTTCATGGCATTACATTAAATTTAATGTATTTATATTTAAAAGTATATTTGTTATACTGAAAAGTATATTTGTTTACATGTATATGAAATTTAATGTACTTTTTATAACATTTTGTGAAAAGTATTGTACACAATATTGTATACAATACATTAAATTTCATAAATTTAATATAACATTCATTACATTTAAGTAATGAATGTTAGTTATGAGTGTAAACTACTATAACTAACTTAATTAAATCATTTATTACTTTTAATTTCGTTTATAACCACATTTTCATTATATGTAAATGAAACATGTAGTTACATTTCTAAGTGTACTTCAATATCACATGATTAAAATTGTATAAATTTTTTTCACTAATGAAATACCAAATATAAGGTGTAGATATGATCCTCATGTCAGCTGTCTTCGAGATGAGCAATCATGCGTTATTGAATGTAATAGCGTTTTTGCGTATATCTCATATATTTAAAATTGAAATTAACAGTTAACATCGAAAATGATCTCGTTGGAAATTTAAATTGTTTTGTTTATGAATTAATTATGAATTATAATTATCACTGGGTCGTAATTCTCTTTTTTTGTATATTGTATTTTAAATAAACATTGTATAGTTTTATGAACTGCGATTATTTGTCAATCTTGAAATGTAATTCTGAACTGTCAGCTAGAATAATATCACAATTAACCTTCCGCTGGCGGATGCAGGCTCTCGCAAGACCCGCGAGTTAAGAGTTGTTTATTTTTTCCAACTGTGAAGAAAATGAATAAACGGATATTTATTTCTATTATAAGTGTATTATTTATATTATATATATTTCTATTATTTCTATTATATGTTTATTTCATTTTCTACATATTTAAAATAATTTACTACTTATTATAATAAAAAACTGCTTTTTAAACGTTTTAAATTAATATCTTAAGTCACATTTACCCTGTATCCGCCGTGCGTGCGAGTATCATATCCGCTGTCCTAATAATAAAAATAAA